CTCGAGCGTGGAGGCCACGAAGGCAGACGAAGCAGTGCGCCGCTCGAGAGGACGAGTGCCTGGGAGCGTTCCTGAGCCGGACGTGGGACCCGTACGTGTCGGCTAGGTCGAGCTCCGGCGTGTTCGCTCGGGGTCGAGTCCGCCGGCCGGTACAAGGTGCAAGGACGGGGCCTGCTGAACGGCTCCTGCCTGGGTGCAGTGGCCGGGAGCAGGTTCGTGGCGAGGCCTACCGGGCGTGGTCCTCGTGAGCCGGGGCCTGACCCTGAACCTCAGGAGTTGCGACCCTGACTGCTGGCCGCGACGTCTGACTAAACGGCGCTGCACACGGTAGCGCATCCGTGTGCCGTCAGCCGTTCCAGCCGCTCCAGCCGTGCCACCTTTGCCCTCGCGCACGTCGACGATCGCATCATGTCGGGACGACGGGGACCCAAACTGTGAGGCAGCGTTTTTCTCTTGCGAACTGAGAACTCTACGCGCTGGACTCGGAGTAAGCGTAGCCGCGAGCTCCCCGCATGCTAGAGGTCTGACTCTCGTACATGTTGCGTGACGCGTGGCGTGTAGGGTTGGACATATAGTTTTATTTTCACCTGCCACTTCGTTCTCTAGTGTATAATATAACGCTTCTTTTGTTCGCATCCATTGTTGATGTTAATCCTTTTTCGTCCGCTATCAACAAACACAGTGACGAACGTCCTTAACCATCACACCTGGTTAAATAACATGTTGCCTAAAAGTGGCCGGTTACTGAGGTGGAGCATGATACTCCAACAGCACAACTTTGACGTTCGCTACAAAAAAGGAAGGCTAAACGCTAATGCAGACGCATTGAGCCGTGCGTTTAGTTAGTACCTTCTCAACCTTTCGGTTTCTGGCTGGCGATTCGGGGCAAAATTTTGACCTCATCACGACCTGGGCTGAGCGCTCTCGTTCAGAGTGATCTCAAGGGGCCAACTTTATGTGGTATTCTAAACCGTTACGTTGTTGTACGTGGGAAAAAAAATTGAGTTGTCATTTTAAGGGTCTTTTCTCCCACATGTGCCTCTTGATGTAGAGGGAACAAAATTCCGATAAACACGTAGTTAGGTATATGTTGTACTATACTTTGTCTGGTGTTCTGTCGGGTGACCGAGGGCACTTGCTTGTGTCGTGTGTTGTCTGTTGTCGAACCGTTCTTAGCAAGTTGCAGAACCATCGACAAGTGCTGAAACCGAAGATGGTCAGAAGAGACGAGTGAAGCTGGTCGACAAGTTGTGGCGACAAGCCAGTGGAGCTGGGATCCGTCGTCAAAAATGGGATGTGTTCCCGGAACAGTTTGGAGCTGTATTCTCCCTATGGCCCTGGAGGCGAACCTGGAGGGACCTGGCGAACGAGCGCACCTGACATCCGAGCCCCGTGGAAGCAGCTCGTCTTTCCGGTGCATTGTCTGGCGGCGGGGGTGCTGTTATGCCAGCGAGTCCTCATCAAACGTCCGTGCCTCTGAAAAAGGCAATCTGGGTCAAGGCCAGCCCGCAGTCCGCCTGGCGCGATCAACTCGACGGCGTGAACACGCGCGGCGCCTCCCTGGCCCACGTGCATTGAGTCATCAGCGCACGTGACAGCGAGCCGGCGTCCTCGTGTCTGGTGGTCTGACGCATGGCGCGGCGACCCCATTGGCGGAATCTGCCCTGACGACCAGCGGCGCTTCTGATTGGACATTTTGGTTGGACCCGGTGCTTATAAAAGAAGCCCTGCGGCGCGTCGCGATCGGAGGTCCTATGGGAGAGGAGTCCCCGTGTCGGAGAGCCGACATGTGTATGAGTCGGCGGTCTTAGGCGAAAAGTTGACCTATGTGTTAGAGAGGAGAGCTCGGCTCTTCGAGTCTCTGTCGGCCCCAGTGCCGAAATTGTAACGCCTCTGTATATATGCTGTACATAAACCTTGTTTAACTCACCGTCGTCTCGTCCGCTCGTCTTATCAGCTCTGCGCAGAAGCAGTCGCGAGCTGAGAAACATACGCTACCAAACGGCTGGTGACCTTCCCGGCGGAGTTGAAAGCAGTGGCGCCTTCGAGGCCGTGTTGGCGTCCCCGTCTTTCCCAACAGTGGTGGCTTCGGCGGGATCGGTCCGTCGTACGCAACAGGGTGCAGTACACATTGCCATCATCATCATTGGAAACCGTACGGTAATGGCATGAAAACCAGAAGGTTTCACGCACATTTGCATTAACCCCACGTGTGGCACCTCGTTGGCTGCAGTCGTTCAAAAAGGCGCCATCATCTACAGTCGTGGTCTTGCCGACCTTGCCTTTAGAGGCTGCAGAATTTGTATTTTGTTCGCCACCAAGAAAAAAAAATCACAGCATATCTACAGAGTGAGTGATGTTAAGTGGGGCGAAGCGTCCATCCGTCTGTCCGTCCGTCCGTGCTTCTGTCCGTGTGTCCGTCCCTGCGTCCGTGTGGCCGTGCGCCCGTCCATTCGTCCATCCGTTCGCGCGTTCATCTGTCTGTATGCCTGTCTGTCCCGTATGTCCATTCATATGTCTGTCTATCTCTCCATCCGTCCGTCCGTCCGCATGCCTGCCCATTTTTCTGTTCATCCGTTTGTCTTTCTGTCACTCACACTAGCCCCACCTGCTGATTGAGTCATACAACTATAGGTGGTTACGAATCGGTTACAGGCATGCATGAACAAACCCACAGATGTATGAGCTTCGCCCCTAAAGTGTCATCACGTGCGCATGATGGTGGTGATGTTACGTTACAAGGTAAATGTTTTGGGCTAATTAAGACCCAAAGATCTTGCGCCATGGGGGCATTTTGAAAGAAGTCACATTGTGAAAGAAATCAACTTGGCCTTTGTGTACAGAATTTCTTTTCGTCGATGACAGCCCCGCTCCGTCGCTGAGACGCTGAGAGAGCATAGAATCGTTGTTAATGATCTGACTAAAGTTCAAGAGTATTTCCAAGATTTCTGCCATTGGGCAGAAATACGCAGACTCAAAATCGGTTGCGTGTACTCACTGATTTGTTTAGAGACTTTCCTGACCATCTCCTGCGGGAATTAAAAGCAGGTTATATCCCTTCTGGAACGAGTCCCCAGTATCACCTATACCCATACGACACAGATTCGCCCAGTGCCCTAGATGCCGAAATCACAATTAAAGAGATCCGCTCCGTGTTAGAGTATATCCGCAAGAACTCTGCGCTGGGTACTGACCACATTCGATACACGACACTTCGAAGTCTCAATGACGGAGGTCTTACGCACCTGGTGGACACTTTTAACGAGCATTGGCGGAACGGCACACTACCTCAAGCATGTCGACATGTGGAAATTTCCCTCATCCCAAAACCGCAGAAACTCGCCTCTGTCAAAAATTTGCGAGCGATTTCCCTTACGTCATGTATAGGCAAGCTCATGGAACATGTTGTCCTGTGGCGCTTGCAGCCATTTCTCGAGGGCCAGTCTTTCTTCTCGCATACGCAGTAAGGCTTTCGCTGGCACTTATCTACGCAAGATGTGTTGCTTCAGCTGAAAGAGCAGGCCTTGGGTTCAACGCAAGGTGTCCAAACCCGCGCTTTGCTTGCGCTGAACCTTAAGAAGGCCTTTGAAAATGTGGAGCACGACCTCATTCTCAGCAACCTCGCCGAATCCCGCTGTGGCGTTCGCGCTTATAACTATGTCAGAGCCTTCTTTTAGAGATCATGCTGCAACAACTGGTATAGGCCCGCATCTCTCGAGTATCATCCACCTCCCAGGCAGAAGCACCCCTCACAGAGCTGTTATTTCACCAGCATTATTTAGTATCCCTATGCCAGGTCTCCCTAAAGAACTTGACCGAATTGAGGACCTGCACCTTGCCATCTATGCCGACGATATCACGTTGTGGATGTTTCGGGGTTCCCACGGTGAAATTCAAGACCGGCTCCAACAAGTGGTAGAGGTCGTGTCAGACTATGCTCGACGAGGTGGCCTCACTTATGCTCCAAACAAGTATGAGCTCCTTGTCTTTCGCGTTAGTGGTAAAAATCCCCCCCCCCCCACACACACATCAATGTACTCGTCGAAGGAACACCTATCTCACAGGTAAAGCAAGCACGCATCCTTGTACTTTACGTTGAAGCAGATGGCTGGGTACGACACACCATCTCCATACTCTCCCGCCAGACGGAGCAGATCATCGCCATGTTCCGACGCGTATAAGTAATAGGCGCTCGGGACTTGGGCAGCGGGACATGCTTCGACTAGTGAATGCGTGAATTATAAGACACTTCAGTTATCACCTTCCATTTCTTTGGATAACGCAAGGACAACATGAACGGGTAGACATACTCATCCGTAAGGTAATCAAAGTCGCTCTGGGCGTTCCACACTATACTTCTACGCAGCGCCTTTTGTTACTAGGTGTGCACAATACCATCAATTGAGTACTCGAGGCTCAGTGGATTAGTCAGCGCCAACGCCTTCTTCTCACACCAACGAGTAGACACGTACTCCAGCACATGGGTCACCCAGTCTCTCCTGAACATCCTCGCGTACATCCTCTGTCACGCAACGTGCACCCTGAGCATAACATCGGTCGTCGGCGGGCACGGGTGAGATAGCTGAAACGCACTCTCAGTAACGTTGAAGAGAATAGGGTCTATAGTATACTACACGGACACGGCTCGCACGACAAGCGAACACACAGCGGTGGTGGTTAGTGGCACTCATGATATTGTAAGTACAGCCTCAATCTCTTCCCCATCTTTAGCCGCCGATGCAGGTGAGGTCCTGGCGGTTACCTTAGCGATCCAACACACCTTGTGCCTCCCCGCGGAAACATGCTACATACCAACCCATTTGAAAGTGGCATGTCGGGCTTTTCTAACAAGTCGCGGCATTCCCAAAAGCTCCCATTTTATTTTTACGCACATTCAAACTTGCTTCACACAACAGCCACATCATACACCCGCTCTGGACTCCTGATCATGCCTCACTGTCTGGTAATGAACGCGCTCATGCGGCTGCTCGAGAACTCACCCTCCGATCGGCCCCGCGCAGTGAGGCGACCAACACCGAGCCGGATTCCCCACTTCTCACATACCAAAAAGTCACATGACATTACATACGCCAACGACAGCAACAGCAACTCCCACTAGACTCCTCCACACGCGAGGAGGCTGTCACACATCGCCAACTGCAGACCCGAACTTTTCTGAACCACCAATACATAAATACAATATACCCAACTCGTGATACTGATGCCTGTCCAGGCTGTGGCAATATCCCCACGAATTTTCACGTTACCGTAGAGTGCTCCGCCAATTACTTCCCACCCCTCCCTCGAATCCTTCGGTCCACCCGTACCCCAGAGCAGTGAGAAGGCACCCTTCGCGACGGTGCCCCCGAGGTCGGCCGGGCCCTCATTCTCAGGGCCTGTGTGGTCGCAGAAGTTATTATAGGAATCCTGGAATAGGGACCCTCCCCGTTTTTTTTTTTGAATTTTCATAATAAAATGTTTTCATCATCATCCGAGATTTCTTTTCACGTTTGTTTTTCCTGCAGATCACAATGCACAGGATAATCAGTGCTATATTCTCGTTTTTTTTTTTTTTGCGAAGGCTGGCCATGATCAGGTAAAAAAAATGCATGAGTGTTATGTTCAGAAGAAGTATGAAACGCGCTAAAATCAATGAATGCGGCCTCACCTACCAGCCCAGACGTGACACTCACGGATTTTATCTGCGTTTCTTGCGATCATTAGATGCAAGAACAGATCTTAGTAATATTTTGTCGTACGACGACCATAAACCGTAGCCCCTCCGCGAAGGAAGGGTTTTTCTATTGCTAAAAGAGCGTATGAAGTGGACCTTCTTGAATGATATATGTAAACTACCAAGAAAAAAAATAAAATGAAAGCATTTCAAGGCACCCACCGGAGATTTGTACCAATGACTCCTCGCTCCACAGTGCGCTGCATTAACCAACTAGGCCACGCCGCTCATACTGTCCATCGCACTAACGGAAAGCTGTGTATATACACTATTTGCCATTGACTTACTGTCAATGGAGTTAAAAGAAAAATTCTTGAACAAAGCTTATGCTTTCTTTGGAAAAGCCATGCGGGCCTTCCATAAACATTGACGTGTCTGATGGTGTTCAATTGATGGAGGCGTGAGTTCACTGAAGCGCATACATTTGTTAAAAGGGCATTGTAAAATGTCTTTGGCTCCACTATAACTTTGCAGCAACAGGAAAAAATTACTCTCATAGAGTTCAGGACTGTTCGGGAAGTAGCTGGTCCTGTCCTGCCTAAGAATTTGGTTCCCACCAAAATTCGCACCGCCATCATCACTTCAGATGGACAAACTTAACTCGCTGCCCCAGATTAGTTGTGGTGTTGCTTTCGCCGTTATAGCATCACACGGCTTCGTAGTTGCAACAGTGCTCATCTCACCAGGAATCTTGCTGACTGACGTTATAAACTTCTTGCTGCAGAACTTCCATGCGGTGTGCCTACAAGATGTGCTGGTGATAGTCACTGGATACTTCAACGTTAATGTACTTGAACGTGAAAACCAGTGGCTTGTCACATTTCTCAATGTCGAACTTAGATATTGCTTCTTATTGGACGACACGGCGTGAACTATTCACTGCATTATTGTCAATTCAAGCAGAATCAACAATGTTCACAACGTTTCATATGGTTCCTAAGTTTACTAGCCTTACTTTGTCTAGCCGCTCAACGTGATTTATCGCATTCATTGCTTCGGCAATGAGTGCAAGTCAGCAATTCAGTAAGTCAATGATTAATATATGCCGGCTAAATTCTCTGCTTTTCAGTAAATAACTCTCTCTCTCTCTCTCTCATCGCTTTGGCCTTCTGCCAAAAACTGTTACTTTTTTTCGTAGCTTTTCTAGCTGTAGTATTTTCTTGACGTTTTTTTATGAGTGTTCCTATCTATCCGTCGTCCTTTTAAACACTTCCAAACGCAAAGCATTTTGTTTCACGAGTTTCGGCATCTAAGGAACCAAAAGAGTACTGAACGCTGGGCGAGTTGGTAAATCATGACTACAAAACTGCGCGAAAAATCGACAAGAAACGGAGAAGGCACACACACAAGCGCAGACTAGCAACTGACAGTTTATTGAAAGAAACACTTATATACCTAAAGAAAAAATATGACGTGAAAGATTAGAAGTTGGCAGTGAGATAATCAATCTCTAGTTGGTGCAAAGTCACCGAAGGCCTCGCAACACACGTGTCGCCATACTTGTGTATATAAAAAGCCTCCGCAACTTCTCTCGCTGTCCTATCCCTGTGCCGGGACAACACCCTTGTTTCGTGAAATAAAGGGGAACACTTGCAATCCCTGCAATGTAGGCATAGATTCGACGAAGGGTGGGCCTTCAGCGATGCCCGGTGATCCATTAGTCGGTTGTTCAAACATCTTCCAGTTTGCCCAATATAGCACCTACCACATGATAAGGGATAAGATACACCGCACCAATTCCACACTCAACAAACGTTTCCCGGTGTTTGACCTCACAAACATACCACTTTTTTTCTTTTCCTTCAGCTTTCCTATCCACCATTGCGCAAACTCGGCCCAACTTATTCCTGGACGAAAAAACGACATTAACACCGAATCTATGTCCCACCTTTTTCATGCGGTGGGAGAAGGCATGAAGATAAGGAATGCACGTGTAAGGCAAACGTTTATCTATGCCCGCTCTGTCATTACCGTCCCGTTTTAGTTTCTTCAATAATCTTTCACTGAGAAGACCCAGCTTTCCTTCTGGGAAGTTCGATAACCTAAGCCTAGTAAGCTGGTCATGAAAAGCCTCCGACATCTGATGCGGGCACGATTTGCACAAAGCAGATTCGAGACACGAAGTGGCGACACCATTCTTGACCAGCTTTGAGTTACAGGAATGAAAATCAAGAATGGGCTTAATCGACCTCGGCGAATACCGCCAGCACGTGTGCTCCTGCCCAATCCTAATTTTCAAATCAAGAAACTGAATGCAGCCATCTTTCGGGACCTCAAAGGTAAATTTCAAACCCCGTCCTTTCTCATTAAACATTTTCAGCACATTGACCCTGGACCTGACACAGTTGTCCATTTCAACAAACACCAGATAATCATCAACGTATCTCATTGTCTTAAGCGCTAAACTTTCTAAGCCTCCTTCGAGGTCTCGATCTACCCTCCCCAAGTATACCTCACTCAGTTTAGGGGCAACACGGGAACCTATGCACACACCCGATTTCTGCCTATACACACCACCTTTCCATTCTACCAAAGTCGAGCGAAGATACATCGACAACAGTTCCAAGAAGGACGCAACAGAAATTCCGCACTCATTTTGGAACTGTAGGGCGTCGTTGTGGTCCTCTATGCAGTCTCTCACACTTTTCATCAAGGTTTCATGCTCCAACGAGTAGAAAAGGTCCTCTACATCTATGCTAAACACTGACATAGGACCGGGGGGTACCGTCCTCAGGAACTGAACGACTTCCTCGGAATTCTTCACCCGAAAAGGATCCTGCACTTTTAGAGATGATAGGTGCTTTTGCAGAAATGCTGATACCAAACATTGCCACGTTCCTCGTTCTGAAACAACTACCCTAAAGGGATGGCCCTCCTTTTCTGCTGAACCTTTTCTTCACCGTCAAAACACACAAGGAGGGCCATCCCTTTAGGGTAGTTGTTTCAGAACGAGGAACGTGGCAATGTTTGGTATCAGCATTTCTGCAAAAGCACCTATCATCTCTAAAAGTGCAGGATCCTTTTCGGGTGAAGAATTCCGAGGAAGTCGTTCAGTTCCTGAGGACGGTACCCCCCGGTCCTATGTCAGTGTTTAGCATAGATGTAGAGGACCTTTTCTACTCGTTGGAGCATGAAACCTTGATGAAAAGTGTGAGAGACTGCATAGAGGACCACAACGACGCCCTACAGTTCCAAAATGAGTGCGGAATTTCTGTTGCGTCCTTCTTGGAACTGTTGTCGATGTATCTTCGCTCGACTTTGGTAGAATGGAAAGGTGGTGTGTATAGGCAGAAATCGGGTGTGTGCATAGGTTCCCGTGTTGCCCCTAAACTGAGTGAGGTATACTTGGGGAGGGTAGATCGAGACCTCGAAGGAGGCTTAGAAAGTTTAGCGCTTAAGACAATGAGATACGTTGATGATTATCTGGTGTTTGTTGAAATGGACAACTGTGTCAGGTCCAGGGTCAATGTGCTGAAAATGTTTAATGAGAAAGGACGGGGTTTGAAATTTACCTTTGAGGTCCCGAAAGATGGCTGCATTCAGTTTCTTGATTTGAAAATTAGGATTGGGCAGGAGCACACGTGCTGGCGGTATTCGCCGAGGTCGATTAAGCCCATTCTTGATTTTCATTCCTGTAACTCAAAGCTGGTCAAGAATGGTGTCGCCACTTCGTGTCTCGAATCTGCTTTGTGCAAATCGTGCCCGCATCAGATGTCGGAGGCTTTTCATGACCAGCTTACTAGGCTTAGGTTATCGAACTTCCCAGAAGGAAAGCTGGGTCTTCTCAGTGAAAGATTATTGAAGAAACTAAAACGGGACGGTAATGACAGAGCGGGCATAGATAAACGTTTGCCTTACACGTGCATTCCTTATCTTCATGCCTTCTCCCACCGCATGAAAAAGGTGGGACATAGATTCGGTGTTAATGTCGTTTTTTCGTCCAGGAATAAGTTGGGCCGAGTTTGCGCAATGGTGGATAGGAAAGCTGAAGGAAAAGAAAAAAAGTGGTATGTTTGTGAGGTCAAACACCGGGAAACGTTTGTTGAGTGTGGAATTGGTGCGGTGTATCTTATCCCCTTATCATGTGGTAGGTGCTATATTGGGCAAACTGGAAGATGTTTGAACAACCGACTAATGGATCACCGGGCATCGCTGAAGGCCCACCCTTCGTCGAATCTATGCCTACATTGCAGGGATTGCAAGTGTTCCCCTTTATTTCACGAAACAAGGGTGTTGTCCCGGCACAGGGATAGGACAGCGAGAGAAGTTGCGGAGGCTTTTTATATACACAAGTATGGCGACACGTGTGTTGCGAGGCCTTCGGTGACTTTGCACCAACTAGAGATTGATTATCTCACTGCCAACTTCTAATCTTTCACGTCATATTTTTTCTTTAGGTATATAAGTGTTTCTTTCAATAAACTGTCAGTTGCTAGTCTGCGCTTGTGTGTGTGCCTTCTCCGTTTCTTGTCGATTTTTCGCGCAGTTTTGTAGTCAGGTAAGGAACCAACTCGTCTTGCTGAAATTGTCGCCTAACCCATCAAGGTCTATCACACTCTCCACAAAGTGATTATTACTACAATTACTCTAAAGTACTAATAGAACATAACCCTCTATCCCGTTAACACGTGCACTTCACTGGACAATCAAGTTGACATGATG